ACAATATATAAACAAAGCAAACACTGTCATAATTTAATCATCTTTTGACAGTATTCACTGAACAGAAACTGTGTTTGTGTGTCTGTCACCGTGTTAAACTAAGTTGCAATCCTGACAAACTGTTTTTTCCAAACAATGGGTGAGTGGTTTACTTTATTATTTATCATGCTTCATAAAAGCCTGCATTGCAAAACAAATAAATAAATAAATAATACTAGGCTGAAGCCACTACACAGCGTAAATGCTGTAACTTGTACAATTTCTTTTTTAATGGCTAGGACTAATTTCTCAATACTAAAGTTCACTTTTTTCCCAAAACTCTTCACACAGTTCTCCTAACCAACTTTTAGCTTGGCACAGCAGGAAATATCGAAATGTATATGCTTTACTACTTCCAGCTGCTCATTCAAACAGATGAGGGAGAACGAATATGCACACTTACAACCATCTACAATATATAAACAAAGCAAACACTGTCATAATTTAATCATCTTTTGACAGTATTCACTGAACAGAAACTGTGTTTGTGTGTCTGTCACCGTGTTAAACTAAGTTGCAATCCTGACAAACTGTTTTTTCCAAACAATGGGTGAGTGGTTTACTTTATTATTTATCATGCTTCATAAAAGCCTGCATTGCAAAACAAATAAATAAATAAAACTAGGCTGAAGCCACTACACAGCGTAAATGCTGTAACTTGTACAATTAATTTTTTAATGGCTAGGACTAATTTCTCAATACTAAAGTTCACTTTTTTCCCAAAACTCTTCACACAGTTCTCCTAACCAACTTTTAGCTTGGCACAGCAGGAAATATCACATTCAAAACGCACTAAAATTACCAAAACACTTCATGCCGTCTCAAATTAACACCTTCAGTTTATTCACATTATTGACACTATTTCTTGTTCACAGCAACAATTATCCTGAAGTGTCTCCTTCTGTATAGATGGGAATGAAATGAGCTATTCAGCTCCATCTAATTGTTTTGATATTATTTCATTTCAATATGGTATTACTGTAGAAATGTAGCAAATTGCTGTCTTGTTCAGTTTTGCATTACGTTAGGCTTTGAAATTAAGTTTTACAGTTCTGAAATTAATATGCAAACATGTGCATGTAGGTCTGTAGGTACACTGAGTTTTGGATGCACGCAATTATTCATGCAATTTGAAAGACTGAACTGAATGCATTTTGTGCCAAAGCAATGTAAAATGATCCACAGCTTAGCTGCGTGAAGAGTTTTGAAAAAGTGACCCAAGTGTTGAGAAACTGCTCTTAGAGACTGTATACTGAAATAATAATTGCATGTTTAAACAAACAAAAAAAAGCAGTCAAGCAGGTGATGAGGGGTGAGAATTATGTGCATGTTATCAATTAATCACTGAAAATGAAGTATGCTGAGATGTGTCGTCATCCAGCTGACATACACTTTATATAAAATATATATTCTCTACATTGAACATGTGAAATAATAAGTGTGAGTACCTGTAAAATGGGCGCAGCGGTGTCATGGATGGAGAGGATGTGTGTGATGTTGTTTCTGGCTAATTGCGCCCTGTCTCTGGCATCTGTAAGAGCACATCCACGCGTTTATCATCTTTCCTAACCATGCACCTTTTTAAAAACGGCGTCGTGGATTCTAGCGGTCTTACCTTTGAAATTACCCAAGTACAGGTCTGGCAGAACCTGGAACGACAACCAAACCAAAATAACACCAAACTAGAACTTAACACTCACTCGGTTTTCCTAAAATCGACAGCTAATGTGTTTTTGTGTGTTGCATTCAAATATCAGCTCACAACTCGAAATAGTTTTCCAGTATCATCTGAATTTGCTGTAACATCATGGTTTTGTAAAGCTGTTAAACAAGTGAGTGGCTGACATACTCTGGGACAAGAGACAGCTTGTTTCTACAATGAAGGCTTGCATTGTGTTTATGTATATGGTATTTTTCATAAATGTCAAGTTTGGGCAAATCATCACATTTTTATTTAAGTTGTCAAATAAACCTCATAAGTTTGCATTCTTAATTTCTTGGTCAAACCAGTGGTTTGATATTTCTGTGTGTTAGTTTTTCCACTTTTAAAGATCATGTTCTAGCCTTACATGTGATCTGGATTATGTTATCAGATTCCAAAAATTAAGTACTTGTAATTTTGTAATGCTCGTAATCAGATTACAGTTACTTTTTAATGGATTACATGATTACATATTAGTCACACAATGGCAGTAAATGATTCATAATCTTCTTCTTTTATTCGTTTACATTTTCCAAACCCCTTTGACATTATATTTACTTGAAATCTCTGAAGAAGTTAATATTTCAAAAATGTAACACCCATTCGCATGTTTACAGCTCAATCTTCTTGTATTTTAGTGTTCAAGTGTTTAAATGATTAATTTTATTTTGCATTTTTATGATTTCATTCATTATTAGCGTTTTAATCGACTCAAACACCCACTGCAGTTCTTACATTAAGCCCAGTTTGAGAAACCCTGGTGTAATGTAATGCTTAATAATACATATTATGATGTTGATATAAAAAAAATGGAACGTTTTCTTTTCCCTTTGCTTTTTTTAAATATGTAGGTCGCTTTGGATAAAAGCGTCTGCTAAACGACTAAATGTAAATGTAATGTTTGATGGCAAGTTTAAAACTATTTAGATAAAAAGTCATCTAAAAAGTAGTCAGATTACATTACCTAAAATGAGTAACCTAGATTGTTACTAAATGTGTTTCTTCTGAAATCAGTGTAAAAGCAGCAAGTTACCATTGTGACAACTTACCCCATATAATGTGACAACATGCCTTATACAGGTACTTTCGCTTGTAAACAGTGCTTGATCTCTCCTGATTCAGACCAGACAACTTTTTCACTAGAAGAAGCCTTATTATGGATTATGGATTTATATTTGAACCGAAAACAACAGTTTGAAGTTAAAATATATCTTGATGGATTAATTTCAGCTTTTGTCTTCTCCAGATGTTAACTGATGGACAGGAGTGCTGTGGATTACTTGTGGATTATTGTGATGCGTTTATCAGCTGTTTGGACTCTCATTCTGACGGCACCCATTCACTTGCAGTGAGACACTGATGCAATGCTACATTTCTACAAATCTAAACTCATCTACAATGCTAAGGTGTTTTATCACGTTGCTATGAACAATTGTTAGCACGTTGCTATGTGGTTGCTAGGGTATTGCTGTTGCCAGAGTATTTCTATGCAGTTGCTAAGGCATTCTAGTAGTTAGCGCGCTGCTCTGTGGTTGCTATGTTGGTTGCTATGTTGCTTTAGGCGGTTGTCAGCGCGTTGCTAAGCTGTTCCAATTAGTTCTGAGCGGTTGCTAGCGCGTTGCTATGGTGTTTTTGCTTTCTGGCCCAAATCAACTTAAAGTCTAACTGTTATGATGTTCTTTAGACACGTCTCGGGTCACTGTAAATCGATTTTTTTTTTAAATTTTATAATCAAAGACACATGATTTGAGAAATCGATGACAGTTGCGTGCATTAGTTTCGTTATTAGTTAAATCAAAAACCCTGAGTATATGCGCAACAATGACGCGTTCTTTAACGCACGCCGAAAGACAGCGTCATGTTTGCTCTGCGTTATGATTCAACATCGAGATTACATTCCCTTTCAAAGTTACAGTCCTAAAGCAGGAGGAGAAGGGAAGTCATGCCCATCTACCTTATTTATTCCGTTTCCCATGCCACAGTGTTTGCAGTGGCAGTGTTTCAGGAGTCCGCTTGTATCGAGTTCACATCTAACTATGTTGTCGTGCAGAGTCCACACACTCAGTTGCGCCGAGCTCCTTGACGAGAATCTCTTAAAGGCACAGTACACACTATTACTGACACCAAGCACTGTTCACAAACTCGTGATGCTACTAAAGCTTGATTAAATTACTCGCAATGGTTTCATGCTAGCAGGACTGCATTGAATTGAATATCTGTAATTAAGATTAAAATGAATATCTAGTCACAGGCAAAAAGGTTTCCGTCACTTTGATCCTTTTCTGCAATATGGGCGAATAAAAACATTACATTTAAACGTGGATACGATAGAGGACACTTTTAGGAATTATAACATTTTCTGAAATACTTTATTCTGATTGGCCAGTCCGTTCTGCACTGTAAATGTTTCTGCACTGTTTTTGCACATAAACCAGTAAATAATTCCGATGTTGCTATGTTGGTTGCTATCTTGCTTTAGGTGGTTGTCAGCGCGTTGCTAAGCTGTTCCAATTAGTTCTGAGCGGTTGCTAGCGCGTTGCTATGGTGTTTTTGCTTTCTGGCCCAAATCAACTTAAAGTCTAACTGTTATGATGTTCTTTAGACACGTCTCGGGTCACTGTAAATCGATTTTTTTTTTAAATTTTATAATCAAAGACACATGATTTGAGAAATCGATGACAGTTGCGTGCATTAGTTTCGTTATTAGTTAAATCAAAAACCCTGAGTATATGCGCAACAATGACGCGTTCTTTAACGCACGCCGAAAGACAGCGTCATGTTTGCTCTGCGTTATGATTCAACATCGAGATTACATTCCCTTTCAAAGTTACAGTCCTAAAGCAGGAGGAGAAGGGAAGTCATGCCCATCTACCTTATTTATTCCGTTTCCCATGCCACAGTGTTTGCAGTGGCAGTGTTTCAGGAGTCCGCTTGTATCGAGTTCACATCTAACTATGTTGTCGTGCAGAGTCCACACACTCAGTTGCGCCGAGCTCCTTGACGAGAATCTCTTAAAGGCACAGTACACACTATTACTGACACCAAGCACTGTTCACAAACTCGTGATGCTACTAAAGCTTGATTAAATTACTCGCAATGGTTTCATGCTAGCAGGACTGTTTTTTTTTAGAAAAGCAATTTTTAAATGTTTATTTGTTGAACAGTTACCAACATAAACTATTCGCGCTAGATTAAAATGCGTCGTGGTGATCTGGTTTTCTGCTGCTGATTATTTCTGTCTTCCTGATTTTTACTTTCACTTTGTAAACTAATATCCCGGAAGCGAAGGAGAAGTGAATATAGGCGTTATGTTACACGGTATGTCTTACAATTATTTACTATTGTGTTTCTGAACAGTTTTTAAAAATTTCGGTAGTAGGAGAAATCTAATATTTGAAGTCAACTAACGAAGAAAAAGTTGCGTTGTTACTGATTATTATCTGTATTGGAAATGGAAAGCAGAAATGCCATATACAACCTTTCGAATATCGATTTATTTCCTAATGTGTTTCTCTGAACTGCAGTTTTGTCTGCGGCTCTTTATTCAATCTTTGATCGTCGGCAAATATGCAAATAGTTTTGTCCGACAGAATGTTCTACTTCCGCACTTCACGTAACACTGGGTTTCATTGTGGAGTTTGTGTGATCTGTCACATGTTTGTGTTGCTCTAGGGAAGTTGTCTTTAGGAAGAGAGGAACTATGGCTACAGCTGCGAGCCTGAGTCTGATGAAGTCAGCAGATCTGATCAAGAAAGAGCCTTTGGATTATGGAGGGTTTGGGGAAGTTTACCTGTGTTACCACAAAACCCTGGGCCAGGTGGTGCTGAAGACGGTCTACACCGGCCCTCCGCGCAACGGGTGAGTGCTCGAGACCAGTGCTGGGGAAGTTAAAAGTAATGCATTACAATATTGCATTACCCCCCTAACAAAAGTAACTACTTGCGTTACTTAGTTACTTTTTATGGAACGTAATGCGTTACGTTACTCTTGAGTTGCTTTTGAAATCTGGGCAGGGCTAGCTTGTTTGTTTTTAATATAAAAAAGTTATTTTTCAAATGTAAACGCCCTTTCACAACAGAAGTGAAATGAATACGCCTCAGGCTGAAGGAAATGTAAATGCACGTCTGTACAGTAGAGAACGAAACACATGAAGAATATGACGCAGGAGAAGAAAGTTCAACACTATTCCGCAATAACAAAAATAAAACACAAATGTGTCATTTTTGCTTATTAGTATGGTTGAATTGGATCATCGAAGGTCAGTAGCAAAGACATCGGTTAATAAAATAGGATTAAAGTATATTTGTGTTATTTAACGTATTTAATTAATGAACGTTTGCGTCATATTCTGAGTTTGCATTTGACTTATTTTATTATATTTGATTTAGAGGAACACTGAATCTGTTTTTGAGTAAACACGTGTTCATATTTAGTCTAGAACTACAGTAAGATCATGTTCACACACAACGCTCTGCACTTACTCCTGATTTCTGTCTCCATGGCAACACCAGAGCTGTCACTCAACACATGGAAACAAAGTAACTGGCCTTACTTATTTGAAAAAAGTAACTTAGTATTTCCTTCTAAATTAAAAAGTAATGCGTTACTTTACTAGTTACTTAAAAAGTAATCTGATTACGTAACTCGCATTACTTGTAATGCGTTACTGCTCGTGACTTTCAGCTTCAGATGTTGTGTAAACTGAGTGAGTTGAATGTGTGTGTGTCAGCCGGCAGAAGCAGTCTCTTCTGGATGAAGGCAGTCTGATGAGCAGGTTAAGCCATCAGCGAGTGGTCAAGCTGCTGGGGGTTATTCTGGAGGACGGAGACTATTCTTTAGTCATGGAGCTCATTCCTAAAGGAAACCTGCTCAGCATGCTGGAGAGGGTAACGGCAGACTCTGTTTTATGCCAAAATACACGTGACGTTTCACATGTCTGTGTTGTGAACACATAGTGTCCAAAAAACACACTGAATGTACCAAAACAGTTGTGCCAAAAAACAGTATTAGCCCTTGTGCATCAGTTTAAAAACGTTACACAGGTCCTTTGGCGAAATAGTCCATGTCATAAAAATATTATATTTTAATTAGTGCTTTAATTAGATTAATCGCGATTAATCACATCCAAAATAAAAGTTTTTGTTTACATAATATATATGTGTGTGTACTATGTATGTTTTTTATGTATATATTTATATTCATATAATTTGTATTATATATAAATATAGTTAATATACAAACATAAAATATTTTTCTGAAATATATATATGCATGTCTGTGTATTTATATATACATATAGTACACACACATATATTATGTAAACAAAAACTTTTATTTTGGATGCGATTAATCGTGATTAATCGTTTGACAGCACTAATTTTAATGTTTTTCGGCTTTCACTGACATAGATTTTCTTTTTTACCAACATCAGTGCTGATCATAAAAATATGGTTTCTTTTCAGGATTTTAACCATTTAAATGTCAGTTTGTTTACATAATGTCACTGTTGTTGTTTTTTTTTTGTGAAAAAAGAAAAAATATATATATTTTCCATATATTAAATGCTAAGCATATTTTTTTCTTTGGATTATTACAGTCCAAGAATTATCAACAACATTCATTCTGATGCAGTGTCAGATTAAAACAAAAGCTACTATTTGAAACACACACATCTCTCAGTACACACATTTATATAATGAAAAGAGTAGATTTATTTTTTAAAACAGTGCAAATTTTTTAACCTTGGCAAAGAATGCATGTTGTTATGCTCAGTGGCACTGGGATTAAATATTGCAACATTTTTGTCCTAACATATCCGAATCATGTCCATGATTTTTTTTGTGTGTTCATATTGCTAATGTGACAAAAGTCACCAAGTGTCATCTCATTCTGATGAAGCTACGATTTTTAAAAATTCAAAATATAAACATTTTCAGTCAAAAATGACCGAAGAGGGCCAGAGGGTTAAGGTCCTAACTATTTTGTACCTAGTGTAAAAATATATTTATGAGAAAAAATGACGGCGGAATATGAAAATTTCAATACAAATACACGTTTTTTTGACTAAATTTGTCCTGTTTGCATTAACACAGCCAAACTGATATTAAAAAATAAAAAATAAATAAAAAGAGAAAGATGTTCCTGAGGATGCACAAGGGTTCATTGTTCATAAACATGAATGTGCTTTCAAGTTTACAATAAAAACTATTTGAATATCAAAATCTGTAACATTATTGGTATCTTGATGTAAATGCAGAAAAAATCTGACAATGTGTCTTTAATGTGCAAAATGCATTCACTGTATTCACAATCCACCTGCTGTCCCTTGCACGCACTAGTATATAAACATTGTTTGCTTCATTACCCGATTTGCATAATTCCTTTAGTGAATCGACAGATCCACAGACCGAGCGTGCAAATAAACAACTCCTCTATTTGCAGTGAAATCCCTCTTCACTATGGAAATGTGCCACTTTTTGATGTCTTTAATATTTTGCTCATATCTGTTGCTCCAGGTGCCTGTTCCGATATCTGTGAAAGGAAGGATCGTTCTGGAGATCTTGGAGGGGATGGTTTATCTCACGGAGAACCAAGTCATTCACAAAGATCTCAAACCAGAGAACATCCTGGTGGACAAGAACTTCCACATTAAAGTATGAAACCTCTCTCTGAATTCACCACAGTACACACTTTTTTAAAAAGCTAAATGTTGAGGCTCTAATCTGTTAAATGCGACTGTAAGATATTATAAACATTAACATCACGGTTTTCTGTAAAGCTGCTTTGAAACGATGTGTATTGGGAAAAGCGCAATAGAAATACATTAGACGTGAAGGATTTTCATGCACGCTCTTTGCTCTGCGTCAGATCGCGGATCTGGGTCTGGCCACGTCTCAGGTGTGGAGCAAGCTGACTAAAGAGGAGTCTCGCAGACAGAGTGGTCTGGGCAAGAAGTCGTGTGCGCGCGCCGCTGGCACTCTGTGCTACATGGCTCCTGAGCACCTGAAGAGCATCAACACCTGCTCCACCGAGAAATCTGACGTCTACAGCTTCTCCATCGTCGTCTGGGTCATCCTCAGCGGCCGCGAGCCCTATGAGAGTGAGTCTGCCTTCAGAACCGCATGATTAACTAATGAACATGATTAACTAGCTGCAATGTGAGTTACAAAACGGACTCAATAATAACAAAATTACTATATATATCACTCATGTGCTATTCGAAGGGTTCATTTGCAAAAACCAATAACTCCGTTTTTAACCATTTTCAGAAATCATGTTTTTTCTTTTCTGTGCGTTCCAATTAATCTCAATCAAACTGCAGTTGGGCTATTTTCATTAGGTAAAAAATACAGCTAACTAACACAATAAAACAGTGAAAACATGATAACATAATTTTAAAAAAACATGATTTTTGAAAATGTAAAAAAAACCCCGGAGTTATCTGTTTTTGCAAATAAACTCTTCGTATTCTGTTGTGTATATAGGTTTTTGTAAGGAACAGACTGAAATAATAAAAAATAATTATAATGTAAATATAAAATAATAAAAATATATAAAATAAAAAAATTTTTTTTTCATTATTCCTGTCAGGTTAAACAGCACAGTTCTTCTTTCTCAAAGAAAAAAAACTAAAGAGGCCCTGATTAGGTAAAAAACACAGCTAACTAACACAATAAAACACAATAAAAACATGATTTAAATAAACTAAAAAACGGAGTTATCTGCTTTTGCAAATAAACTCTTCATATTCTGTTGTATATAGCTTTTTGTAAGGAACAGACTGAAATAATAAAATTAATTATAATATAAATATAAAATAATAAAAATATATACAATTTAAAAAAAAAAAAATTTATAAATATAAAATAATAAAAATATATAAAAAATTTAATTTTCATTATTCCTGTCAGTTTAAACAGCACAGTTCTTCTTTCTCAAAGAAAAATTTCCATACAATTGTATTTTGATCATCATCATGATTTCTACTTCTTTTGATTTATTAAGCGTAATTGGTTGCGATATTTGCCCGCTGGTTATTTATTCTGAGAACATTGTAATTTGGCATTATTCTGCGTTCATGTTTGCGGTTGCCAGATGCCAAGAGTTTAAATCCCCCCCAGTTTTTTCTTTTTATAAATTGAAATCTTCCCTGTGGTTTACTTAAAGGCATAGTTGACCCAAAGATGAAAATTCTGTCATCGTTTGCTCACCCTCATGTCGTCCCAAACCTGTGTGAGTTTCTTTCTTCTGTTGAAGGAATATAATACGAAGGAATTTTCTGTATTGATTTTTCACTGCATTTTAAATTATGCATTGTATTTTGTGTTTTCGGGTTACAGGGTTAAAACAGATAAAGGAAAACGGATTTGTCCTGGAAAATTACTAGTACCTTTTTAATTTTTCTAGATATTTTTCTTACAGTGTACTAAATGATCAACAATCGCAGGTACAAGCTACTAACAAGGTGTATCATAAATGATTCAATTATTCAATTATTATTATTATTCAATTGAACAATTGAAAATAGCAGCTAATTTAATTCACGTTTTGTGTGTACTGCTAAGCATCTTTGCTTTCCTCTTTTTGTGTAATTTAGATGGAAAACGTGTGCCTTTTTATCATTTGAGTCACTTATCGAAAGTTGCTGAAAGTTGCCAAATAAATTTTAAAAATTTGTTGCTAGGTGCTTTTGGAAGGAAAAGTTGCTAGGGTGGTCTGATCGCCCAGCCCTAATTGCATGCAAATGCTCTTTAATATTTGACCCCATTTCATATTTGCAGTGTATCAAACTCAAGACCAAGGTTTAGTAGTGAATGAACATGTTTTTTTGTTGTTTTTCAGATGCCAGGAGTGAAGATCAGATCTGCCACTGTGTGTGTCAGGGTGAGCGTCCCGACGAAGCTCTGATCCCTCGACACACTCCTCAAGACGTCATCGAGCTCATGAAGACATGCTGGAATGAAGACCCTCGTCTCCGGCCCACATTTAAAGGTAGAAGCCTTGAGGGTTCATCCTGGATATAAAATAAAGCGATAAGCCCCGTGAAGCCGTGGTTTACAGTGAACTTATAACAGCTAAGGAGCGTTGTTAGATGTGCCTTAAAACCCCCTTAGCTGTTATAAATTCACTGTAAACCACGGCTTCACGGGGCTTACTGCTTTTATAAAACGGTTATTCCATATACGTAGTAAGGTTTCACAGAATAAAACAGAGCAAATAAAGTGTAATGATGTTAATAAAAACAGTATTCTTCCACCAAACAATGTAGCTCCTCAGAAACAGTTGTGGTTGCTACAAAGTGGTTGCCGAGCAACACACAAATGTAAACAAAGGTGTATGTTACTTTGTAGAGTCATTTACAACAGCTTCGGACGTGGCTCAGCCAATCAGAATCAAGGACCGGAGCTCTCCGGTTTATAATGAATGTTTTGTCACACCTGCCAATGGTAACGCATCTTCCTTACCAGACGTGTTTAACAGGACACATTCATTTAGTTTTGATTATGAATGGAACAGAATGCAGCTGAACTACTTTTACTTGACATAGCATCCTAAAAACATACTGATACTGTATATGGGATTAATTGTGATGCACTATTTAGCTTAACATGTTTCTGAATTTTGAATCCGTTGACAGTGTGGTATATTAGTAACAAATTATGAGAGGCACAGATTATTGCTCTTGGTGTAAAGAGCCTTAACTTAACTTTATTTGCTTGCCAAAGCCAGTTTATTCTCTCATTTGACTATTGATTTTAGGCCTGGATTACTTCCTCATTGGACTCTTTTTTTTAAACTTTACCTAAGCTACTAATCTTTGTTTATTTGTTTTCTTTTTTTGCAGATAGCTTTGAATTGTTTTTACCCTTTTACCAGGAGAAGCTGGCAGCAAATGTAAAAGCGGATTTGGAAAGTCTGATGGTGAGAGGTTTTGTTCTTTCTCAGGTGAATCTGTAAGTGTTCGGATGTCCAAACATTGATTCACTGATTCTTTTACCCCGTCATTCATCACAGACATGCTGCGACATTTCACAGTTAATATATTGCTGCTTTTATTGGATTACATTAATTAAGTTGAACTGATTAAGCTAATTCGATCCGATTACTGTGCATGACACAAGAGGTTGTCACTATTTTTTAATTAAAATATAATACAGACATTTGAATAGTCTACTATTATATTCTATGCTGTGTATAATATTTGTTTACGATCCTTATTGGAAATCATACATTTATGATTTTATTGCATGATTTTTTAGTTCAGTTTGAATATATAATTTTAAAGTGTGTGTATTAAACTTACAGTGCATCTGACATGAACAAAACAAAGCATCATTCTTAATTAATTTTCATGATCATGACAGTCCTATGTGTTCCTTGCATTATAGTCTTCGTTGTCTCATAAAGGAATAGTTCACCCAAAAATGAAAAGTGTCATCATTTACTCACGCTGTGTGATTTCTTATGAAGTGTCATGATCACTTTATATGATGATCAAAATCGAAGCTTTATTCAGTTTCACAGCAAATCACTGATTGCACACACATACACAGACTACATCAGTTTTCATTTTAGGACTAAATTATTTCATTGCATTGTTTTCTTTTGCACAGAGATCGTATGAGGGCCCAGAGGAGCTGGTAGAAAAGCTGAAGTCCCTCACAACAGACTCACTCACTCCTGAAGGTATGCTGATTTATTCAGTCATGTTGTGGATTTGATTTGAGGACTCAGCAACCATTTAACATTGAGTGCCTTTTTTCATGTTTAGTATTGAGACGTTAGATTAGTAGAATACCATTACATTTTAAGGATTTGTTCTGTAGTGAGGGAAACTAACATGCATAATGTATATAAATATTTTGTTCTATTTACCCATATTTTACATTATTGACCCTTTTCACATTTTCATGAGCGTTAAATTGGCTTTATTACACTTTTAGCTGAGCGGAATATCTCAATGGAGATTGCTAAACTCCAGCTTACATGTTTTCTGATGTTTTCAGCTCATCAGCACCTTTTCTGTAACACTGAGAGAGTGAGTGCATGGTTGCCAGGTTGGGAATATTAAGTAAACTTCTGGGAAGAAAATGTATCCATTTAAGAAAAAAGCTCTGATTGGGGGATTTAAACTCTTGATATCTGGCAACCGGAAACATGAAAGCTTATCAATGCAAAACAATGCAAATATCAAATTAAAATGTTTTCGGAATAAATAAGCAGCGGGCAAATATCGCAGACGATTGTGCTTAATTAATCAAGAGAAGCATTTCGCTGCATAGTGTGCAGCACTACTAAACGTTTTTTTAAATGAAAATATAATATATAATATATAATATAACAGTTATGTTAATAACTGTGGAAATGTGTCACCTTTTCTGTAACACTGAGAGAGTGAGTGCATGGTTGCCAGGTTGGGAATATTAAGTAAACTTCTGGGAAGAAAATGTATCCATTTAAGAAAAAAGCTCTGATTGGGGGATTTAAACTCTTGATATCTGGCAACCGGAAACATGAAAGCTTATCAATGCAAAACAATGCAAATATCAAATTAAAATGTTTTCGGAATAAATAAGCAGCGGGCAAATATCGCAGACGATTGTGCTTAATAAATCAAGAGAAGCATTTCGCTGCATAGCGTGCAGCACTACTAAACGTTTTTTTAAATGAAAATATAATATATGACATATAATATAACAGTTATGTTAATAACTGTGGAAATGTGTCATCGCAGTCTGTGAAAAAGGTCCATTTCTGAATGCAATAATAAAATTTGACTTACACTAATCATATTAGAGTGATTACACTGAGTGAATTCAAATAAATAGTTTCTTGGCCTGTAAAAATGTTTTTTGCAACAATGTTGATTGTACATGAGGCACATCCCAGCTAACAAGGAACTTTCACTAATGTTTTTTTATAAGCTATATAAATGTTAGGACACAACATTCGTAATGTTCATGTAACGTTCTTATAACTTTAATAATATTTGATGTAACGTCTTTTCGTAACGTTAAGAGGAAACATTCTTAGAATGTTGTACTTGATGAAGATTCTAAGAAACAGTTTTGTAACCTTTAGCGTTCTAATAACCACTGGACATTGTAACATTCTTAGAATATTAAAAATAAAGGTTCAAATAATGTTTTTTTTGCGGGGGTGAAGATAAAGTTAGCAAAACATTCTAATAAATGTAACCTTTAAATAACATTCTAATCACATCAAGAAAACTGTTTTGAAATGTTTCTAAAACGCAATGTTTCCACAAAGTTTTTCTAACCTAAATTTGATGCCTGATATTAGATGCTTGTAAATGCAATGCTGACTGTTCTTCTCGTGTCCGCAGACCCTTCGCCGTGTTCCAGAGACTCTCCAGGGCCCTTGAGGAGCTCAGACGTCGGCCCGGTGGAGGCTAGCATTGAAGACCTCAGCTTCAGGACCCCCGAAGAGTCTCTGCTGGAGGTGGACGCCGCGCCTCCCAATCTGGAGCTCAAACTGGCACAAGAGTACAACTACCACAAATACGGCAGTCGTATAGTGGATCAGCCGGACGCCAGCATTTATAACCCGCTCCTGCAGCAGCCGGCTAGCAGCAGGTGGGCCGGAGAGGCTTCTTCTGTGAAGTCTTGGACTAAACCCGCCGCTTACCCAAACCCAGACGAGGAGCTCCATCTGAGGCCTGCTGGCTCATTTGAGGGATTGCACAGGCCAGAGTTGGCGAGTCATCTCTCAGTGCCGTATTCTGACTACGACAGACTCCAGCATCCTCACCATCCGCCGTACAATCGCATCAAGTCCTGTCCAGATAGTGCATCTCGTGCAGCGGAGTCTTTCATGCTGGATTCACAGCCTGGCCTGCGTTTATCACCTGTCGTATGTCCTCCATCTGACTCGGGTACAGTTAACAATTCACAACTAACAAGTCATTTCTGCAGTGCTTTATACCAGTGGTTCTCAAACTGGGGTACGTTCATTTAATTCTACCCCAACTTAAAGTAACATTAAAACCGAACATGTATTTCTGACAAGCAAAATGCGCTTCTAATGTAAAAACAGGAAAATGTTAGTGCCGTAAACAGTCAAATACATGATATCCAATCAGCTTACCTCATCTTTTGCGGTCAAACCTGACGGCATCCACACAAGCAGCGTGAGGTTTAAGATACGAGCAAGAATGCACATTTCCCTGAATATCCAAACGATGGCAAATGTGACTATTTTTTTTACAAAAAAAAAGGTAATATTAAGTGAACATTTTACATTTTAAATGTAGCCTAATATTGTCATGTTTGTTCTATTTTGCAACTAAATAACAGTTCCAACGAAATCTGTATCATCTGGTGTGCGTCTCCAAGCAACATACACCGGTGTTTCGTTAGTGAACGAATCTGCGGCTTTGAACGATTTGGAGAGTCAGTGATTAATAACCCATTCATAACTACAGCATTTTGCTTCGTTACTGAATTAATGAATGAATGACGCGACGCCTGGCTCATTAAGACAGCGACTTGCCGCCACCTACTGGCGGTTTTATTTTTTAAGTCTACAAGTTCGATTTGCCACCATTTATTGCTTTATTTATTATATTAATAATACACTTAATGAAATGTTAAGAATATGACATAAAACATGACATACAATTAATAAGGATAGCAAATATTTGCCTCTATAAAGGTAAAAAAATGCACCTGTAAATCAATTTAAGGGGGCAAATAATGTCCTTTAATAGAAAAAGGTATGTTTGAGAACCACTGCTTTATACAATACAGATTGTGTCAAAGCAGTGATAAACAGGAAAATAGCCGAATCAGTTTTCAACAGAATATGCCGCTCTAAAAGGATAGTGAATAGAAAGGGCTGCCCAATGAATCATATTTTAACCGTAATCACAATTTCTCGATTTATTGAGCATAATCATCTGTGATATTTGCCTGCTGGTTATTTGTCCTGAAAGCATTTCATGTTAGTTTGGCATTATCTTGCATTTGTAACAGGCCTCTACAAGCTTTTATGGTTGCGGTTGCCAGATGTCAATAGATAAATCCCCCAATAAGAGCGGTTTTCATTAGGGATGCACTGAATGTTCGGCAACCGAAATTATTCGGCTCAAAATAGCAAAAAAAGCTCTTTCGGTGTTCGGCTGAATAAGTGAAAAGACTAAATAAATTGTACCGAACAATGACGTGACGCGATCAAATAGATGCATTTGTAACAGGCCTCTACAAGCTTTTATGGTTGCGGTTGCCAGATGTCAATAGATAAATCCCCCAATAAGAGCGGTTTTCATTAGGGATGCACTGAATGTTCGGCAACCGAAATTATTCGGCTCAAAATAGCAAAAAAAGCTCTTTCGGTGTTCGGCTGAATAAGTGAAAAGACTAAATAAATTGTACCGAACAATGACGTGACGCGATCAAATAGAGGCGTGCACTAATGCAGCCAACGTGTCTGCAGTGTGAAAGTATTTAAAACTATCAGAGAAAGACGCAGAAATCATGAATTGCTCAGTCACATTTTTATTAGTTTTTTTGAAGGCATGTGACAATGTGATATGTGCGGAAAACATCTTCCCAAATTCGTAATGAGAATCATTTATAAATCTGCTGCTGTCAACAAAAAGAAGCACTGAGATATTCCTGCGGGTTTCTGCTAAAATAAAAACGGTGAAAAGCAACAACTCCATCAACGTTCATAAATGCTGTAATTTTACTGTCGTTCTGTAAAATAAAATAAAAAAGTAAAACATTAATAATGATAATAATAATTACCCAGCTCTATTAGGCTAATTCATTTATTATAACATTCACACATAGTGTTCAAATTGGGATCAGTAATATATTCTCATGTTTTAAAAGCAGTCTCTTCTGCTCCGTAAGGCTGCATTTATTTGTACAGTAAAAAATACATGCCTGATTCAAGAAGGGGGTCTTAAAAATGGCCCAAAAATATTATTTTACTTAACTTTAACTTATTAATTTTAAGTAAAATTGTGCTTTGTTGGTATAATGTCTGCTAGTATGTTTAACAATGTTCAGTGTTAAGTAAATATTTTTGAAATTGTTGTTTTGTAATTTTTTCTTTTTTTTTGAAAAGCAGGAAAAACAGTAAAAAGCTAATTTTTGCTATTTAATTTATGCAATGGTGAAAAAATGGCAAAATACAGTACATGGGGGTGGGCCAAGTGTTTCATGTTGTTCAGCTATGGCTTCGGCCAAGAATTTTCATTTCGGTGCATCCCTAGTTTTCATAAAAGGATACATAATCTTCCCAGTGATTTACTTAATCTTTCCAACCTGGCAACCAAGCACACGTGGTCTCTCTGCGTTACGGAAACAGCGCTGATGAGCTGAAAATGTGTAAGATGCAGTTCAGCGATGATTATGGTTTGCAGTACAAACAGTTTTACCATTTACTGCACTTTGTTATTAAGTTGGCTTGTGAAAGCCAACTTACTGAAATGCTATTTAAACTGGCCGGGTGTGCTATATCTTTTCTAACTGATCGGACTTATGGTTTTCTTAAAAATGAATATTAAAAATCATAAAAATCCCATAGACTTACATTGAAAAGTCTCTGCTCACCTGAACATTCCGACAAACTCCAACTGTCAAAATTCAAATCTAAACACACTGAAGCCCATTACACTCATTCAGACTTGCCTTCTATGTACTATTTCTAACCATTTCTAACCCATTCAAACTCATTCAAACTCATCTATCTATCTATCTATCTATCTATCTATCTATCATCTGACTATTTCTTTCTATCTATCTATCATCTGACTATTTCTTTCTATCTATCTATCTATCTATCTATC